AGGCCATTGTGAGCTGGAGCCGCCGTGCGGAGAAAGCCAGGGCCTGGAGAAGGGGTGAGGCAGAGCCTCCTCTAACCTCGAAGACCTGCCTCCTTGCTGGGCTCCGGCCCTAGACAGAGCCTGTACGGGGATGGGGAGGGGGTGCTCCTTGAAGTGCCCCAATGTTATATCCAAATGAGTTATCCACATGGCCAGAGAAAAACCACTGATGGACATGAAAGAAGAGAATACCCATTGTATGCCTTTAACCACAAATAGTGTTTGTTCCTGGTAAACACTATTGCCTACTGGGAGGTCATCAGGAATGAACTAAGTTTTAAGTGGTTTAATGTAAATATTTAAAATGTACTACCTATTATTTCCAGTCCCATTTTCTTCTTTTAAAAAAATACCAGAAGTCTCAAAAATTGCAAGTGGCCAGGTCCTTCTCAACTTCTGATAGGCCATGTTAGATCTCTTAAGGATAAGATTGATGATGAAAAGAACACAGCCATGAAAAGTGCAAAGTGTGAGACTATGTCTGTTTTTAAAGAATCCGATACCCAGGGCAGGAGGCAGAATCAGATGGCCTGGTTTACATCTTCACTCAATCACTTACTAGCTGTGTAACAGTGGAAATGTTATTTAGTTGCTCTTAGCTTCTCTTCTCTGTAAAGTGGAAATATCCTTCTACGTCGTAGGGCGTTACATGGGCTAAACGAAACGACCCGGGTAGAAAACCTCACACTGTAGGTCGGAGGCCAGTGAGTGCTGTGATCTGCTTGATTATATAAAAATAGGCAAGTGTCCCTGCAAAATGAAAATGCAACGTTACAAAGCTGAGTGGGTTTGCATCTGTTTAGCTGGAGTGCTTTATTTACCTCCTGACCACCTGGGGGAGACTTGAAGGAAGCGTCTTTCTGGAATGCCTCAGGGTTTGGTGTCTCATTCCCACCAGGAGGCGAATCTGGCTGCAAACCACTTCACTGTGTGCCTTCCAGGAGGAAACCACTTCTCTCCAGGCTCCACTGTCCATTTCTGAAAAGAAGGGGATTGGATTGGATCCACTGGATCCACAGAATAGCCATTAAGAGTGTGGACTTTGTGCTGGATGGCCCTGCTCCACACCCAGGCTCTGCCACGCACCAGCTGTGTGACCTTGGGCAAGCTACATAATCTCTCTGTATCTCGGTTTACCCTCTGTAAAATGGGGTTGGTGATCGATTCTGCCTTTTGGATTTGTTGTGAGGGATTAAATGAGTTAATATAGCTAAAGATTCAGAAAACTATCTGGCATGTAGCAAGAATTCGGTCAGGGTTAATACTGTTGTTGGTATTGCTATAATTTTATTGTTGTTGTTAAATGTCCTCAATGATCCTGTCTAGCTCTGATATTCTCTGAGACTGCCTCAGTAGACCGAAGCCTGTTATGGCTCATCCGTTCCTGGAAAGTGGATTAGGAACTCCTCCCCAGCCTCCCCTTCCTGAGGGTCCAAAGGATCCCCTCCTGTAGCCCCTGGGCCAGCTGAGCCTGCTGGATTAGGCCCTCCCAGATTAGGGATTGGCTCCTGGCTCGAGTCGCTCTGCCACTGAAAGCCAGCTTTGCAAGCATGAAATTGCCCTTAGGGTCTCCAAGGTCTTCTTTCCCATGGGGTCACGTGGGATTCATTACACTGCAGGTGGGATGAGAAAGACATGCACTGGATGGGAGATAGGGAGGAATCCTGGCCAGGCAGGCAGCTGCGGGGCAGAGTGGGTGGTTGAAGGGAGCAGGTGGACTGGAGGGCAGCCTTGACGGTGGTCAAGGAGGAAGGTGGGAAGCACAGGAGGGGTGTCATTTGTCCACTGGTCCTCCCAGCTCCATCTTCCTGGGCGGGGACTGTGGTTGAAATAGAATCTTATGACCTAGCTCCAGGTCTAGAGAAGGCCCCTAGTCTCTGAAGCCGTCTCCACAGGGTAGCTCGTAGTCTGCCTTTCACAAAGACCCACTCTACTGGTGTCGTATGGTGTATGTGTCTATTTGTGTGTGAGCATATTTGGATGTCTTTGTTTAGAACCCTCCTCTGCAAACCCATCTACATGGACCCCGTTGGGTGTGAGAGAGGATACCCTCCATGACCCACTCGGCTGGGACAGAGCCAGTTTTACACCAAAACAGAGGCAATGGCCGCCTGTGAATGAATTTAAACTCTCCTGAGTCACATGGACTGCTTTTCAAGTCCACAGGGCCTTCCCCTTTCAGTCACAGGACTGTAGAAGATTCAAGTTGGCCAGGATCTCAGAGATCATCTCATCTGACCCATGCCATCAAGAGTTAGAGGGTCCCAAGAGAGGCCTTTAAGGGCCCTGAGCCTCTTGGAACCTGCATATGAAGTGTTTTGTTCTTGTGGGGACAGGAGAGCATTAATGAATTGTGACCCTATTCCTACCCAAAGTCACTGAGCCCTTTCCATAAGGCACTGAGGAACAATGAATAATGCACACAAATTCACTGCCCAGAGTTCTTTTGACGTGGATACTCCCCTAATCGAGGAAGTGAAGGTCCTGTCTCTGTCTCCCAAAGAAAAAGTCTATCAGGAGGTATAATAAGATTACACCCCGGGAAGTGGTGGTAAATGGCTGGAGATCCAGACATAGCTAAATATTATTGGACATTACGTTTACTAGAGGATAAAGCGGGAGAGTGGTAAAAACTGTGTAACTCATCTCAGCTCCTTGGAGTCCTGAAATTTCCATTTTATTGCAGTAAGAGGGATCCAAGCATGACACAGTGCAGAAAGGAGTGGGCTCCCTCATGTGGGCTGCTGTCAACACATGGAAAATGGGTGGGTGCAGTGATTGACACCTGCCATCCCGCCACTTTGGAAGGCTGACAGGAGAGAATCACTTGAGCCCAGGAGTTCGAGACCAGCCTGGGTAGCATGGCAAGATCTCGTCTCTGTTTAGAAAGCAACAACAACACGAAACGGAGGCCGGGTAGCAGGCCACACCTTGACTCACGTGTCTGCAGTCTATCCCCAGGCCTCGGGGAAGAGCGCACGAGGTATCTAGGGGGCAACAGAGGGACCTGAAGTGCTGAAGGGCTCTGATTTGAGCATGTTCACAGCCTCCTCCTTCCCTGTCCTGGGATAATGCAGCATTGTGGCTCAGGGCCCCACCATGAGAAAGAATACCCTGGGGTGTTCTCCTGGAACTGCCCTCCTGAGAGGTAAACTCCCGCCTTTCACTTCCTCCTTCCTCCAATCCTTTCCATCTCTGCAGCCAGAATGAGGCTTTTAAAATGCAGATTGGATCCTGTCAGCCCTCCAGTTTAAACAAACCTCAGTTGCCCTTACAATAGAGATCAAAACTCTTCAATGGCCCCCAAAGCCTACCTGTCCAAGCTCAACTCTCACCATCCCTCTTTCCCTTGCTTTCCAAGGTCCAGCTCTTTCCCTTGCTCTACATTGTCTCCTTCAGAGCACCCATGGCAGTTTCCAATTAGATATTTATTTACTTACTTATCTATCTGAGACGGAGTCTTGCTCTGTTACCCAGGTTGGAGTGCAGTGGTGTGATCTCGGCTCACTGCAACCTCTGCCTCCCAGGTTCAAGCGATTCTCCTGCCTCAGGCTCCTGAGTAACTGAGAGTATAGGCGCCCGCCACTGAGCCTGGCTAATTTTCATATTTTTAGTAGAGATGGGGTTTCACCATCTTGGTCAGGCTGGTCTTGAACTGCTGACCTTGTGAGCCACCCGCCTCGGCCTCCCAAAGTGCTGTGATTACAGGTGTGAGCCACCGTGCCTGGCCTCTAATTAGATATTTAACATCTGCCTGCCCCATTAGACTGCAAGCTTCATGATGGGAGGGCCCTGTCATTTGCTTACCTTTGTATTCCCAGGGCTAAACACAGTGCCAGAGCCAGGGCTCAACCCCGAGCAGGTGTTCAACACATGTTTGTTGAACAAATGAAAGATCCGCCCTGACACTCAGAAACACACAGGGAGGGCACACAAATGCATGTGTGTGTGCATGTACACACACACATACACACACTTGAACGTAAGAGGTCACACACCTCCCCTCCCAGAGCACATGCCGAGGTAGCTCCTGTAGAAATCCGCAAGGTGCTGATGAATGCATGTAAACATTCACTGTCCTCCCCGGGAAGCAAACATTCACCCCATTTCCTTTCTATTTCACCCGACCCCTCCTCGATCAAGCCTTGCTTATGAGTGGCAACAAAGCAGTTTTCTTTTCTTAAGGAGAGAGAAGGTGGCTCTTTCAAAGCACATCAGGTGGCCTTATCTCCTGGGCCTCACCTGCCCTCCAGTCTCCTTAAGAAAATCAGTTACCAGCTGTTGTATTTCTAATTTCCACTTGCCATCCATCTGCCCAGCCAAAAACCCAACCATCTGTCCTGCCAACTTTGGCCCCCAACCCTGCTGGTCAGGTCACCCCTTCTATTCCTTGAAAAGCTCCTCGGCAAGCTCACCTTCTCCAGCAGGCCTCCTGACTGCACAATTCCCAGGGGCTCCTGCTTCCTGGGCACCTTCCTGGCCCCTCTCAGAGGACTCTGTGCCCGTGACTCCATTAGTGGCTGCCTTCCCTCCCACTCCCAAAGTTTGCTGCCTCTTTGGTGCCACTTTGAGGTGTGATTCCCAAGAGGCTGGTGACTTTATGTATCTGTGTGAGTTATGATGTCAAAGATCACAAGGGACCAGCTTAGCTGAAAAGTTAAGGGTTTGGGTGATGAAAATGTCCTTGCTTAAAAGGGTCAGATAAACGAGGCATCATGGAGCAAATTTACACTAAGCCAGTCTGGTTAAGAGGTTAAAGCTCTGCAAAGCGGGGAGTTGGATGGACTGATGTCACAGGACCCTTCCATCTCTGACCTCCCCTGAGCTAGAGCGTTAGCCCTGAGGGGCCTTGCCCTGCCAAGCCTGGACTGGAGGATGAGGAGGCGGGGTGAGTGGGAGGGGCAGAGGGAGCAGAGGCGCCTGCAGCAACCAACACCTGCTCCAGCCCTCCCTGTCCACCAGCAGTCGATCCAGAGCCTCCAGCAAGCAGCAGCTGCACACAGTGAAGAGGGAGCAGACAGGAAGCAGGAGGCCAGCTGCACGCCCAGGTAAGTGGGCACTCACACCTGGCTGCCTACCCAGGTCAGGGTAGGGCCAGGATGGAGACACTAGCCTGCTGTCCAGCTTTCCTGTGCAGGAAGGGGCAAGGAGTGGGCAGGACATCTGCTTGGGGAGCATTGCCTGGCTGGGCAATCACACGCTGGGGTGCATCTGTATCCCCTCTCGGTGACTCGTTATCTGGAGAAGAGAATTTCAGTGAGTCTGTCTGGGTGGTTCTGTCCTGGCTCTAATTTTCTGGACACAGCTTGACTTTGGGTGTGATAAAATGACCAGATTAAAAGTACCACTAGCAGTGCAGAATAAGGACCTTGGGCTGAGACTTGTTATATTTTGGTTAATAACATGGTCGAAGAAGTGGAGAGAAACCCGTTTGGCTCTTCCTGCCACAGTTTCTACCAGTTGAGAAGTAGGTAGCAGGGGCCACCTGGAGGTAGCAGGGACCACCTGGAGGTAGCAGGGGCCACCTGGAGGTAGCAGGGACCACCTGGAGGTAGCAGGGGCCTGGATCTGCAAGATGGATCTGGGGAGGGTGGGGTGCCATGGGTCCTGGAGAGGGGCCAGGGAGACACTGCCCCGGGGTTCCAGTGCTGAGAGTGTTGTTGGGACAGCTGAAGTGAGGACACAAGCTGCTATTTGCTTCTGGAAAGAACTGGAATTCTTCTTGAATGTGGGAATGGATTACGGAGGAGAGAGTTCATTTCCTTTCTCATCCCTTCCAGCCGAGACCACATCCCTCTAGTCTCCCACCCAATAGCTCTCTTCCCCTATGTCACTGAAAACCAAATCTGGCTTATTCTAGAAGAGAGCGGAGCTCCAGAAGTGGATGGTTTAACGTCGCACCCCTGAGTCCCCCCAAGGGCTCTGCTCCTCTTGCCCTCCTCCGCTGGGAGCTGTTGGCCAAAGGCTGGAGGGAGAAGAGTGGTATTATTGTCATTTCTTCGTGTGTGACCAATAGCTGAGTAATGGACTGATAGCTGCTGGTGGTGATGATGTGCATGGCGATGGGGATGATGACTCAGATAGCTGTGTGGAACTCCTACTACTCCAGTGTGGGGTTACCGACTGTGCCAGTGCACTTGCATCTACTGGGAGGCTGCACTGAGGGGTGGCTGGGACAGAGGCCATGGTCAGCTGGGTCCCCGTCCGTTGGTGGCTGCCCCCCATCCGCTGGTGGCTGCCTTCCCTCCCGCCCTTCCTCGTGACTCCCTTCGGTGCAGTGCCTGCGGCACCTGTGACCGCTCCAGAACGCAGTTGGCGTACCATGGCATTCCAGCACACTAGGGTGCAGCGTCTGGGCTGGTGAGGGGCCGCCAGGGGCCAGAAATGCCAGTGGGTGGGCAGTTGCGAAATGGAACAATCTCCATGGGAGAGAGCAATCTGCTCTGTCATGTGTGATTCTATATTAACTGCAGGACTCTTTGGGCAGAAAATGGAGTCCCCAAAATGGAACCGCTTGGCCATGGGCCAATCGCACAAAGAGTGGGACTGCTGGAGAATTCTTTCAAGTCGTCCCCCCAACCCCCATTTATGGCACTCATCCCATCCCAGAGCCAACCCCCTTCCTCTCCTGTGTGGGACTCCCCATTGGTCACAACAGATGGATGCAATTAAGAGGAAATCGGGAGAGATGGCGGTGGTGAGAGAATGGAAAATACTCCTGTTCACCTGACACTATAATTCACTGGCTTCAGAGAGGGGCCGATGGATTTATGGGGATCCTACTGTCCTGGGCCAAGAAGAGCTTAAGAGCAGCAAAGTTGAGGACTCTCCCCTACAGACCTTATGACCGGAAGGATTCCAGATTGGTGGAGCGTGGGAGGTAGAGGGCTTCAGGGTCCCGCCAGAAAAATCTCAGAGCTGGGGAAGGAGCCAGGAGACCCAAAGAATGTCCTTGGAGAATTCTTATGCCAAAGTCAATGGGGCAAGCTGTTACACAGCTGGAAAGATCCTGAATGAGTCTGATTTCCTCTGGTTTGGGCTGGCTGTGTCTCACCCTCTGAGCAGGACCATCACAGTGTACAGGCTCAGCCCATGGTTCCCTTTACCTGGGAATGTTACCAACTGGGTAGCATCCTACCTCCTCCCTGACCTCTGAGAAATTTGTTTTGCTGGGGACAGGGAATTGCAGGAAACTTCAGTGGCCTCCGTGGGTTAGAAAAGCTCTCGGGGCAGCCGCTTTTCTAAGCTCCCATCCCACACATTGGCTGATGCACTGATGGTGTTGGGGGTGGAGTGAGACCAGCCTGAATCTCTCAAAAGCAATTCCACTTCTGTTCTCAGGAAAATAGAACTTCTGCCCTCAGAGGAGTCAAAGAGGAAGCAGAACTATGGCAGGTGAGAGAAGAACAAACCTCCCCTCCCCAGCCCTTCCTGGAGATCCTTACCAGGACAGAGAAGAGAGAAGTGGTAGGGATCAGAGATTTCTGGGAACTCACCCATCTCGTTTTGCTTGTTTGTTTGCTTGTTTTGAGACAGAGTCTCACTCTTGTTGCCCAGGCTGGAGTGCAGTGGTGCGATCTCAGCTCACTGCAACCTCTGCTTCTTGGGTTCAAGTGATTCTCCTGCCTTAGCCTCCCTAGTAGCTGGGATTACAGGCTCATGCCACCACACCCGGCTAATTTTTGTATTTTTAGTAGAGACCGAGTTTCGCCATGTTGTCCAGGCTGGTCTCGAACTCCTGACCTCAGGTGATCCACCCGCCTCAGCCTCCCAAAGTGTTGGGATTACAGATGTGAGCCACGATGGTAGGTTTTTTTTTTTTTTTTTTTTTTAGAGTCTTGGCTTTGGGTTTTGATTTGTTTTCCTGAATAAGGGGTAAAGAGCCCCCACATGAGCTCCTGCTTCCTGAGAAGGAACCCTTTCCCATTCTCTTTTCCCATCTTTTCCCCAGAGGCACATGCAGGGTCTTCCCCAGGTGCCCTACCCACTCATAGAGGCTCCATTCACACCGCTAGAGGGGGCTTCTTGCTCCTTGGGTGAGTGGGTGAATGCCCATTCTGTGGAAGGGCCACCCAATAGGGAGGAGGCGGAAGGCCCATCTCCCTCTCTCCTGCGTTCTCCAGGAAAGCTCCGGAAGTCCCACATCCCTGGGGTGAGCATCTGGCAGCTGGTGGAGGAGATCCCCGAAGGCTACAGCACGCCGGACTTTGAGCAGAAGCCGGTCACCTTGGCTCTGCCAGAGGGTGAGAGCCCAGAGGGGAGGATAGAGGGGAGATTCCTGCTCCCCTACCTCCCTGGGCACCCAGGCCTTAATCCATCACCAGGCCGTAGCCCGTCTCCCTCCTATCCTTGAGGGGGCATGCGCTTGCCTGGAACCCTAGAAGTGACAAGGGGTCTGGGGAAAAGAGTGGATAAAGAGAACGAAGAGACACGATGCTATTCTGATGTGAGAAATATCTGGGAGGCAAGGATGGAAAATGCTAAACTGGGGAGCAAGGAGAGGCTGTGGGGTTCCCTGGTGCCTCCTTTCTTGCTTCAAAGCCACTGCTGCAGAGAGGCACTGTTAAAACAGGTAATCTGACTCCTCCCAACCCTCGCCTCCCGCAGCAGCTCCCACAGTGGCTCACAGGCTGGGCTCAGGAAGGCCCTTTGAGAAGGCCACATAAGGAAGTGTCTGGGAAAGCGGTGGGAACAAAGGCTTGTTGGGGGAAAAGTGGGAATTGGTGTTCTTTCCCCAACATAAACCTGTGCAATAAATTTTAATTCATAACACTCTGGAAATAAGAAAAAGAATGGTATTTTATTTTTCTAACTCTGGAACAAGGCAATGAGAAATTGGGAAGGGCCCTTGGACCTTTGGTCTATATTGCATGTTCCTGGTGGGAGGCCGAGGGATTCCTTGAGGGTGAGCAGCTCCCAGGCCTCCATGCCGGGCATGGAGCTTGAAGTCTTTTCTGAGGCTGGAACCTGTGTCTCAGGACCAGGTCCTTTGGGCACCAAATAGCCATTCCTCCTTCCCCTAGAGAGCAGGAAGGGAACCCACAAAATATCTCTCTCTCTCTCTCTCTCTTTTTGAGATGGAGTCTCGCTCTGTTGCCCAGGCTGCAGTGCAGTGGCACGATCTCTGCTCACCACAACCTCTGCCTCCTGGGTTCAAGCGATTCTCCTGTCTCAACCTCCTGAGAAACTGGTACTACAGGCACATGCTACCACTCCTGGCTAATTTTTTAATTTTTAGTAGAGACAGGGTTTCACTGTGTTGGCCAGACTGGTCTCGAACTCCTGACCTAAGGTGATCCACCCACCTCAGCCTCCCAAAGTGCTAGCTCCTGGGCTCGGCTGGAACTCACAAAAGTTCATTCCTTTTCCAGTCTTGGCGGAGCCTTCAGATTCCTTGCTCATTCACTCTCAAAGAAAAGTCCCTCTCCCCCAAAGCCCTGCTGGCCTTTCCTTCCACCAGGGCCAGTCCAGCTGCCTCTTTCCCTCAAGCAGCCTGAGCTTCCGCAATGCAGAAAGAGGAAAGATGCCCTCTGGATGCCTGGAATCTGCTGCTTTCCACCTGCGTGTTCTGAGTCCTGAGTCAAGGGGACCAAGGCCTGGCACCCTTTTTGGAAGGGGTAGCTGAAATACCTAGAAGAGGAAGATGATATAAATTAGAATTTAAATAAAGAACACAGTCACCTTCTCCCAACTTGTCAGCCTCCCTGTCCGTCTCCTCCTGCTGCAGGGAAGAATGCTGTCTTTCGGGCTCTGGTCTGCGGGGAGCCAAGGCCCGAGGTGCGCTGGCAGAACTCCAAAGGGGACCTCAGTAACTCCAGCAAGTACAAGATCTCCTCCAGCCCGGGCAGCAACGAGCATGTGCTGCAGGTGAGAACCACAGCTCTTCCCCCCACCAGGGTCTACTCATCTCTTCCCATCCCCTTGGAGGTCTCTTCGGCAGCCTCCAATCCCTGCAGGGGTAAGACACACTCCTCATTGGAGTCGAATCCATTCAACTTCATCTTGTGACTCAAAGTTGCCTGAGCCAAGAATGGATCTGGCAGACTCGCAGATGTCTCTGCTGATCACCTGGGAGGTGGCGTAGACAGGCGCGTAGCAGCTCAAGCTCCGAAGTCAGACTGCCTGGGTTACAGTCCCAGGCCCACCACCTTGGCTTTGGAAAGTCACTTTCCTCTTTCTACCTCTGTCTCCTCATTTGTAAAAATGGGGCAATAATAGTGCCTACTTTAAGGAGCTGTTATAAGCTGTAGTTCAGACAGATCTCGCTCTGTCACCCAGGCTGGAGTGCAGTGGCACAATCTTGGCTCAATGCAACCTCCACCTTCCAGGTTCAAGTGATTCTCCTGCCTTGGCCTGCTGAGTAGCTAGATTTATAGGCATGCACCATCACGCCAGGCTAAGTTTTGTATTTTCAGTAGAGACGGGGTTTCACCATGTTGGGCAGGCTGGTCTTGAACTCCTAACCGCAGGTGATCCATCTGCCTCGGCCTCCTAAAGTGCTGGGATTACCGACGTGAGCCACTGTGCCTGGCCGGGAGTTGTTACGAGGATGAAAGTTTTATGACAAGTGTTCGCCATCAATCTTGGCCAATCTTAGCAATGTTATAAACACTAACCGTGGGATACCTACTGTATGCCAGGCCCGGGGCTAGACATTCGACATAGGTTATATATTTAATTCTAATCATTCACCACTTTTTTGAGGTATGATATTCCCATCTTATAAATGAAGAAACTAAAATTTAGAGAAGTTAGGTAACTTTCCCAAAGTCCCACAGCTAGTCATACAGGACAGAGACTATTTTCTATCCCAGATCCATCTGACCCAGAAAACACACTCTTTCTACTCGCTACACTGCCTCTGATGGCAAAGAGTTGGTACATCCACCCGCTGTCCCGAACCTGGCCTTTGTTCTGGGGTCTCTCTTTCCTGATAAAGATTGTGAGCTCCCTGAGGATAAGGACCATGTCTTACTCACTTTATACCTCAACACATAGCCGTGTCTAGTAAACAGAGGAAGGGTACATGGTAGCCCCGTCCCTCTGCCCTTGGCCTCTCTGCAGATCAACAAGCTGACGGGCGAGGACACAGATCTGTACCGCTGCACAGCAGTGAATGTGTACGGAGAGGCTGCGTGCTCAGCAAGACTCACCGTCATCGAAGGTGGGCTTTTCCCTGGGCTCGTCTCATCAGTGCATGGGGCAGAGGGCCTGCAGAAGAACCAGAGGCCCCGTGGCTGGTGAGGGAGTGGAGGGGAGGGCAGGGGAGGCCCACGGAGGCTGCTGCGGCTGCCGCCGCCCCATTTTGTGCTGGGCTCCCGGCTTTATCCACGTGCACACCGAGTCTGCTTGTGTTTTAAAAGCCGCACCTTGGCTGATTCTCTGAAGGACATTCTCTTGGCCCAGTCAATAGGCAGGACCTGAAAGCTGCTTCTAGTCCAGAGCTTCTGCTGACTCATTCAATGGGCTTTGTTTTCCTCTCGGGGTCTTGGTTTCTCCCCTGTGCAAAGGATCTTTCGGACAGACCATGCCAGAGGTGACAAACAGGTCACACAAAGGCCAAACTCTCTCTCAGGCATGGTTTTTTTTTGGCATGCATCATGTTTGAAATATTTTAAATTGTCAGCCTGCAGTAATTAAAAGATAGGTATCTCTTGAGGAAGCAGGTCTAGTCTCACCGTTGGTTATGCTTACAATTGATCTGCCTACAAGTAGCAGAAAATCCTATTCGGAGTAGCCTAAGAAATAAAGATATTTCATCTCTCACGTAGTAAGAAGTTCTGAGAGTGGCATCCAGGGCTCACAGCACAGCTCAGGGCTGCCATGGGAGAGCTGATTCTTTCCTTAACAGGCTGGCTCATCACCTCATCACCGTAAGAGGGCTGTGGTAGATCCAACTTGATCCATGTTCAAGGTACGACGGTGGCAGAGGTGGCCCAGGTCCACTTGCCTCCCTTAATTTTTTTTTTTTTTTTCGAGATGGAGTCTCACTCCATCACACAGGCAGGAGTGCAGTGGCATGATCTCTGCTCACTGCAACCTGCGCCTCCCAGGTGTAAGGGATTCTCCTCCCTCAGCCTCCTGAGTAGCTGGGATTACAGGTATGCACAACCACGCCTGGCTAATTTTCATATTTTTAGTCGAGACAGGGTTTCACCATGTTGGCCAGGCTGGTCTCGAACTCCTGACCTCAGGTGATCCACCCTCCTAAGCCTCCCAAAGTGCTGGGATTACAGGCGTGAGCCACTGTGCCCAGCCTTTTATTTTTTATTTTTTGAGACCTGTTGCCCAGGCTGGAGTGCAGTGGCGTGATTACAGCTCACTGCAGCCTTGAGGTTCAAGTGATCCTTCCACCTCAGCCTCCCAAGTAGCTGGGACCAAATGCATGCGTCATCACACCCAGCTAATTATTTTTTATTTTTTTTGTAGAGGCCAGGTCTCCCTTTGTTGCCCAGGCTGGTCTGGAACTCCTGGGCTCAAGCTATCCTCCCACCTTGGCCTCCCAAAGCGCTGGGATTACAGGTGTGAGCCACCACGACCAGCCCATCCACCCTTTTTATAGAGGAAGCAAAAGCTGTCTTAGAAATTCCTGGAGTTCATTGGTCAGAACGATGTCACGTGAGCACTGCTAGTTGCGAGGGAAGTTTTTTCCGCCTTTGTAGTGGAAGCAGATGATGACGATTACGAATGGCTGCAGGATCAGCCAAACACCAGTGTCTGACCTATACCCTGAAATGGCAGCTCCCAGGTGGAATGAAAGAGCAGCTGCCCTTTCAGATACTCTTGAGTTTCTTGTGGTTGCCAGTGTCTGCTTCACGCGTTTATGCCACCTCCCTGGCCCCTGTAGACACATGACTGGTCCTCCCCAGCATGAAATGATGCTCAGGTTAGTCCCCTTGGTCATGGTAATGCTCTGGGGTCAAAAAGCTTCTGATGGACAGGCCCTCTACCCTGCTCCATCCCTCTTGCTGGGATCGTTCATGCCTTAGAGGACCATGGGGAGAGCAGGGCTCTGGGATCCGTCAGTTCCTCAGGAAGACCATCAACGTGTCTCTCTTCTCTCCCTGCTTGTCCACATCAACTCCTTCCTCTCCGCCCTGGATGATCCAGTTGGCTTTAGGAAGAATCGGAAGAGGCAAAAGGAACCGCAGGAAGGTAGGTAGACTTGTCAGAAACCTCCTTGGGGCCTGTGGGGGAGGCTACTCCTTTCCTGGTGTTCCCTGCCTGGTCAAGCCACCATGCACACCTTGTGGGTCACTGCCAGTCTTCAGGGGAGCCCCTTCCAAAGGCTCGGGTGGCAGCATGGACCACACAGAAAAGCCCTGAATTGACCCCCAGGCATCACACCTGGGACTGGGGTCTCATTCCTGCTCCTTTTCCAGACCTCAGGAAGGAGCTGATGGACTTCCGGAAGTTGCTGAAAAAGAGGTGGGTTTGGGCCTGTCCATGAGGGACTTTGGAGCCTCCCGTAGCATTCACTCTCTGCTATTCCATAAGCAAGCTGGCTCAGGCCCCACCTCCAGCTGAGACAGCAGGGAGCTGGACTGCCGGTAGCAGATGGGAGGATGGGAAGGATGCTGAACTGGGCATTCTGGCTCCAGCTCTCCCGCTTCAGAGCTCCGCATCCTTGAGTTAATCATCTCTCCTCTGATTCCTCCTTTGCAAAATGTGGTGGTCCGCTGGAACACTGATGTCACTTTTTAAAAAAAGCAATGGAACAATGCAACACCCACTTTCCCGCAGACATCTTACATAGAAATCTACAAGTTGTTAGCAGCAGTTTCTCCTGAAGGCTGAAGCTGTGGGGTGAGGCTCACCCCGCCCATCTCTGAATCCTTCTGGCCCCCACAGTGGTCAGTCCCAGAGATTCCAGGCTCTGTGCTTCCTCAAGTGCAGATAGAGCAGCTTCCCAGGACTGCTTGGGGCGCCAGAGCCAGGTGGCCCACAGGGGAACCGGGGTTCCTCTGACCTCTGACCTGCCGGCCTTGCTCTCCAGGGCCCCACCAGCCCCTGAGAAGAAGATCGACCTTGGGCAGGTGTGGCAGCTGCTGATGACGGCAGACAGGAAGGACTACGAGCAGATCTGCATGAAGTATGGCATCGTCGACTACCGGGGCATGCTGCGCAGGCTGCAAGAGATGAAGAAGGAGCAGGAGGACAAGATGGCACAGGTGCCTTGCCCCATGCCCACCCCTCACTGCATGCCCACCCCACACACCTGGACCACAGTGCCGCACCCACGACCACCCCTCACCACATGCCCAGACCACACACCTGGACCTCAGTGCCTCACCCCACACCCACCTCTCACCACATGCCCACGCAACACAGCTGGACCACAGGTGCCTCACATCTGGAGGTGGGCTTGGAGGCAGACCTTAGAAAACCAGGTATGGTCGAGGGGCCTGTCTCCATCTAGCCGCAGTGGGGTATCTGGCTAAGGCCCTGGGATCCCAGGTTGGTGTCCTGCCTTTGCAACCTGGTTCTGATACTTACGAAACTCTGGAGCTTTGGAAGAGTTAGGGCCTCTGTTTCTTGGTTTCGCCATCTGAAAATGGAAATTATAGTCATGCCTACCTCATAGGGTTATTGGGAGGATAAATGAGAGAATGTACTTAAAGTACTTAGCCTAGTGCCTGATACGTGGTAAGGGGTTGATGTTTGATGTCATTATCATCGTCGCCAGAGCAGGGGGTACCTGGTTTATTTCTAAAGGCTTCTATGGAAGGGAATTTCACAGTTCCCATTAGCACTCTGATCCCAGAATCTTATCAACTGTACCAGGAAGTTCTTCCTGTGTCTAACTTAACTATAGCGTAAGTCTAATTTTTCTTCTGAAAATGGAAAACAACTAGTTTTTATTATCCTGAAAATAGTACCTTATCCCCTTGAAGGGTAAGTTTCCTTAAACCTAACACCCAGAGTCTCAGCTTTCTCTCCTCCAAGGTTTCTCATTGGCTTTAACACACGACCCAGCACAGAGCTTTGTACACAGTAGGTGTTCAACTAATGTTTGTTAGAAGAACAGATGAATAGAAAAGCCCTACTGTGTTCTGGCACCTGGACACCTGGGGTCTTTTCTTGGTTGTCCTCGTGATCTGATCTCTCAACTTCCTTCCTTGAGGGGCTTGCTTCTCCCCACTTGTGAAAGGGGCCAGTGCATGCTCACCTGGGATGCTGTGGGCCTAGGGTGGTACCAGGGCCTATGAGTGTTTGGAGTACCCCAAAGAGAGGACTCCAGGAAATCTCCTGGGGGGTTTGTCTGCTCTGCAGTACATCAATACCATCACCAACTTGAGACACGTCAGGGTCACCAAGGAGGGAATTGCAAAGTTTGACCTGGAGCTGGATCTCAAGGATTCTCAGAGCAAGATTTACCTGTATAAGGTGAGGCTGGAGGGGCTATGGGTGGGGAGATCTGGCAGGGCTGCTGTAGGTCTAGTGAGGCGGGAATGATGGGTACCCTGGATTCCCCCATGGGAACAACGGGAGCACACAAGTGGTGAGCCCCTCAGCTCATGGAGTTCCTGGTTGGAGTTGGGCCAAACCCTGGTGTAGACTGTCCATCCACAGGGACTTCACATCTCACACTGAGCAACCAGGCTCTCCAGCTGGGCCGGTGACTCTGTATATTGTGGCTAACGCCAGAGCACAGGGGCGAAAAGAGGGTTCTGAGAAAGTGCACCCCTTTCCGTCTGAGCTTTCTTTCCGGAGACTTAACACATCCCTACCTGGGCTCTGGGAGTAATTACCTGCCAACCAGATGGGGGCAGAAGCAGGTGGGGAGCAGTTGGTAAAATTTGGCTAGTTCCGTAGCCAAACTCATCCAGCTCCATCACTTACAAGCTGTGTGACTTCGGACAAGATACTTATCTCCCCATGCCTCGGTTTCCTCACTTGTGAACTGGGGGTCATAGAGGACCTGCCTCACGGTGTAGTGCAGTGCTAAATGACATCATGTGTGACTTGTCCCTCCCCCATCTCTCTGCTCATTCCAGCTTCTCTTTCCCTTGTCCCTTTGTTCCTGCCCCACTGGCCTCATCCCTGTTCCTTTGCCCCGCTATTCCCTCTGCTTAGCATGCTCATCCCCAATATCGACAGGACGAATTTCTTCATGGCAGAGAGACTTCCCACAGCCACTCCGTGTGATTCCACTATACCCCTCCAGCCCCATCCTCACACTCCGGAGCCCTGGACCCATATCTACCTTTTGGTTCCCTAGTTCTATTTCTTTCTAACATAACATATTTACTGACTTATGACATTTATTATTTATATTTCCCCCCCTAGGATTTTAGCTAGTGAGAGCAGGAATCTCTGTGGGCTTCTTGTTTGTTGTTTTTGTTTTGAGACAGAGTCTTGCTCTGTCACCAGGCTGGAGTGCAGTGGGGCAATCTCGGCTCACTGCAACCTCCGCTTCCCGGGTTCAAGCGATTCTCTTGCCTCAGCCTCCCGGGTAGCTGGGTACAGGCACACGTCACCACGCCCAGCTAATTTTTGTATTTTTAGTAGAGATGGGGTTTCACTATGTTGGCCAGGATGGTCTCGATCTCTTGACCTTGTGATCTGCCCATCTTTGTTTTATTCATTGATGTGTCCTAAGTACCTAAAACAGTGCCTGGCACACAGTGGGCCCCTCATAAGTATTAGCCATTGTTAATATTCAGCGAGTAGCAAACCTATCTAGGGCTTAGTTGAAGTAGGTATGCATATAGATTACTGGGTTTTGTAGAGCCTTACAGGTATCTGATGTTATTCTCTGAAAGTTCCTGTTGGTGAGTAAGTTGAACTGGGGTACCTGGGCCATTGCTGTTGTGTCCTGCCTCTCTGCTATCCTCGCAGGGCCACTGAGCAGTAACTTCAGGTGCCCCTTTGCACAGCACGTGAAGAGTTTTTACTCCATGGACATTCCTAGAGCATGTATTCCCATCCAGCTCTCAATCCCTGTTCCCATGTCCTCCAGGCCCTGCTGTCTGCCCCACCCCAGCTCCTCTATGACTTCAGGAATCTTTTGTCTGGTGACTGGGCCAGGGGGAGAAAACTGCCAGTTATAACCAGAATGGGACTGGGGCAGGAAGCACTGGGGACCCACTGAGGACCCTCTTCCTTTTCTGGCCTTAGGATGGTGAGATGATCCCCTATGGCTTCAACGACCAGACCAAGCACAGTCTGCGCCGGCTGGGGAAGCGCTACCAATTCCAGATCCAGGACCTGCAGCCCGAGGACTCTGGCATCTACCAGGTGAAGGTGGAGGATGCTGTGGTCTTCTCCACAGAGCTGGAGGCCAGTGGTGAGTGGTCTATACTGCTGAAGTTGGAGTCGGGGAGATCTGTTAGAAGTGGAGCCCATGTTGGTGCAATGTGTGTGCTGGGGGGCAAATGTGACGTGGCACCTACTGCAAAGTGGGATGCATACCCAGATGGCTAAATTATGATGCTGTCTGTTTTCCAAAAGCCTCAGTGGACGTTCTTTCTTCTCCTGGTGCTGAGCTGGGCCCTACTGAATTACCAGCAAAGACATAGAGCATATGTGTCATGCCTCTGCCCAGACCTTCTGCAGCCACCAAGTATTTTCAGATCAGATCCAGACGACTTGCAGAGGCTCTAGAATGCCTTTCTGTTGCGTGTCTCATCTCCACAATGCCCCAGCAAGAATCTCTGCTAAGGCATCCTCGTGCTCCATACAGACCTTTCCTTTCCTGCTTCCTGTATTCCTTCCCCTTCCAGGAACTGCCACCCCTCCCTCATCAAACTCAGTCCCATCCCCACGAGCACCTGTGTCCACATCACTCTCAGAGCACCTACCAGCTCAAGGGAGTTCTTGGAAGGACAAGGAGAGCCCCAGGGAAGCAGGCTTTGGGTAGATATGTTAATAAGAACATGGCTGAATCGAGGTTCGGGGAGAGAGAAAGGGGTGTTGTGTCCCAGCAGCGGGGAGGTGCCCAGAGGGGACTTTGGAAAGCCTGACAACTGTGCAGGTTGGGAAAAGGAGTATACCCTTGGGAGTCAACCAGACCTGGATGTGAATCTTGGTTTCCCTTAGCTGCATGAGACTGGGGCAAGTTATTTAACTTTTTAAGCCTCAGTTTTCTCACCTGTAAAAATAAATTAATAATACTCACCTTGGAGATGGTCACAAGGATTAATAAGATCAAGTACTGGCTCTTAGCTTAGTGGTTTCCTTCATGCACCCACCTTGTCCCCAGATATAACTTTTGGGTTTAGAAGTATAGAATCCCAGAGCTGAAAATAGCCCCATTGCTCATAATGATAACCCCTCACTTTACGTGGGGGGGATTGACACCTGAGGTATGGAGGTGACCTGTCCAAGGTAGCACAGGGAGTTTGTGGCTGAGCTGGTCGAAGCCTGGATTTCCGAACTGCCAGCCTTGCTGCCTCAGGTCACACTGTGTCATAGCATCAAGCTGACACCCCCATTCCTGCTTCCCCGGCAGCAATCCCCCCCAGAGTGGTGGTCCCGCTGACCGAGACCCGCTGTGAGGAACAGGGTGATGCAGTCTTCGAGTGCACCCTCTCCAGCCCCTGCCCTAGTGCAGCCTGGCATTTCCGGCACCGGCTACTCCACCCCAGTGACAAATATGAAGTGCTTGTGTCCCCCGATGGGCTGACCCACCAGCTGGTGGTGAGGGGGGCCCGTTTTTCAGACATGGGCCCCTACTCACTGGGCACTGGGCTCCACACTTCCAGCGCCTGGCTGGTGGTTGAAGGTGAGTGCTTCACATCAGGGAAGACCTTGGAGCTGGGGAGGCATGAGGGAGGCGAGGCAGTGGGATTGCCTTTGGTCAGCTCCCTTGCACAGAGAGAATAAGGAAGCCTCCTTAGATTACTCTCCACCCACTGCAGTGCAGACCGTCATGGCCACATGTGCCTGCTCCACTGGGTCTCTTGGAATTACTCTGGGGCACAGATGGCTGTACGGTCCTAGGCAGCCTGGGGACAGTGGCCTAGGTTCGGTGTGGATGAGAACCCCCTGCACCAGACCAGAGAATACTCTGAAACCTCCCTGGGGATTGAAATTTGGGTTCAAGTTGTTCCCAGAAAAGTGTAAATTGGACATAAGTAAGGCAGGTAGTAGAGCAAGTAGATATTTTAAAAACCATGCACCTGCTGCGGCAGTTTGATTACAAATGACTTCTGGCTTATGCATTTTCTCCAAAATCCTCGTGAACCCTGTAGCAGGTGGTCTGTGGGTATAGGAAGCGGGGAGGTGGTGATGGGATTCACCCATTCATCCCTGGAACAGTCTGGCTGCCTCCCCAGATGGTCGGCTTTCTTCTCTACTGGGGAAGCCAAGGTCAGGTGGGCAGCTGGGCTCAGGCAGGTGCTTTGGCCAGATTTAACTGGAGTTTTGGTATTTTCTCTTGCCTCTCTATGTGGGCACTGACCTTCCACGTGAATAACCCCTCACTGAAGCTGGGAAGAATAAAGACCTTCAGTCCACAAGTGCTGACCACCAACTGCAGAAGCAAGGAGCCCAGGCCTCAGGAGTAGAAGACTCCGGGAGCACCAGCAGCCAGGGAGAGAAATTCAGAGAGCAGGGCCCTAGGGGGAGCTCCCTTGATGGGGCTGGGCTGGCTTCCGGGCACCAGCACATAGCCAGCCCAGACAGGGACGGCCTTGGCAGGCATGGCTACTCCTTGATGGGGGACAAAGGGGCAGCCAACTCATCCTGGGGCCCTGGACAGGAGGGTGAGGGCTTTCTAGAAGCAGAGACAAGCAGAGTCACTCTTCCTAGGGAAAATCAGCCCCGCAGAGAGGGAGGCTGGGCTGGAAACCTTGCAGGGGGGGTCCATCTACAGGTAGAGAGCTCAGAATCAGGGTTGGGCCTCCCAGAAAAACGACAGCAAGATGGTGGCAGAGATAGCAAGGGTGATGGATGCTGGAGGACAGCAGGAGGCTGGGAGGCTGGGTCCCGTCCGCTTCAGGCTGGAGGACTGGGGAGCAGCAGGGAAGGAAAGGAGCACGGAGGGGACAGTGGAGGACAACTGGACAGGCACTGCCAGGAGCAACTGTGGGATGCTCGACTGGGACCTGGGAGAGGAAAGAGGGACCTGCAGGGATGCCAGTCTGATCCTGTAGGGCCCTGGCCAAGAGGAAAGCAGGTGGAGAAGATTTCGCAGTATGATAGCCTGGCTGAGACGGAGGGAGGGGATGCTTCGAGTAGGGAAGCCAGGAGAGGAGTCGTAGTGTGGGGTAGTGGGACTGGCCTGGGGGAAGCTGGAGGCAGCAATGGGGCAGGAGGTCCTGGCACCCTGGAGTTTACTGGAGGGAGAGGTTCTGGCTCCAAGGCAGGCATGGGCCCTGAATCCTGGGGTTCCCGAGGAGGTACACTTACTGACTATGGGGATGCCAGGGGCTACTGGGGATCAGGAGAGTTTCTAGGACAGACACCTGGAGGCAAGGACTTCCAGGAACCATCAGTATCAGGTGGTACAAAATTCCTTCTGGGAGATGGGAGTCCTGAGGCCAAAGCTGAAGACTCTCTGCAGGAGGCAGATGGTCTATACCAGGGGGAGTCCATCGTTGGAGGAAGTGTCTACAAAACTGGCCCTGGAGGCCCAGGAGACCCCAGGGGCTGTGAAAGTGGCCTCCGGGGGCTCAGAGGAAGGGATGGCCAGGAAATAGCTTGGGCCTCAGGCGAGGTAGGAGATGAGCCCAGAAGCTTCCAGTCTTCCCAGGGCTGGACAGCAGGTCACAAAGCAGAAGGTGGTGCTGGCACAATAGACTCTAAGGGCACAAGTCCTTGGGATGACACGCCATCTAGCCTCGGAAAAACTGGGGTCCAAGGGCAAGAGGGTATGGGTGGTGTCTGGGTGGCTGGACTGACAGAGTCTGGTCAGGGGGTGGAGGCCAGAAGCCATGGGCTAAGTCGGTCTCCAGGCCTGGGTGCTCAGGGATCTGGGGGAACACTAGGAGATACAGAAGGATTCAGAGGTCCTGGGTCAATAGGGTCTGAACCAGATTTCTGGAATGGGTCAGGGGGCGCTGGAGTAAAAGGACCCAGAGGTGAGACAGGTTATAAGGATGGCTTGGAAGGTCCTGGGAGGATGGAATCTAGGTATGAGAGTGGCTTAGGATATTCTAGGGGAATAGGTTCTGAAAGCGGGGCTGGTTATAGCTATGGCTCAGGGGTGCCAGGAGAAATGGGATCCAGCCGTGGTGCTGGTTGTAGAGTGTCCCCTGGGGCACCTGTGGGAATGGAGTCTGAGGAAGGGGGTGCTTACAAGCATAGCTCCACAGTGCCCAGGGAAGTGTGGTCTGGAAACAAAGAAGATTCTGGCCCTGCAGGAGGAGGGCCTGGGAGAGTTGCCAGTCTTAAGAATGGCTCAGGTGGCCCTGATGGAGCACCCATGGGTGGAGCCAAGAATTGGGCCTCTGCATGCCAGGGTGGCATGGGCCCTGGGGGAGGGCACCATTCAGATGGCCCCCTAGGGAGTCCTGGGATGGTGGGGTCTGTGGGTAGAGGTGGTTTCAAGGCCCCTGGAGCACTGGAGACTGTTGGGACTCGAAGTGTGGAAGCAGACCCAGGGAGCTCCGGAAGAATAAGGCCTTGGGGTCAGACTGGTAATTATGGGGGCTTCAGGGCCTCAGAGGACCTGGGGGCCTTTGGAGAAGGGGGCTATGAAGATGGCTCTGGGGGTCCAGGAGCCATGGAGCCGGGGTCTCTGAGGGCAGGGAGCAAAGTGGGTGAGAGGGATGGGACAAGATACCCTGGTGCCAGGGCCTCTGGAGCTGGAGCTACTTATAGGGACGATACCAGGGACCGTGAGGCACTCACGCCTCACATCGGGGCTGCTTCTGAGAGCCAGTGGGCTTATGGGGCTGGCAGTGTGCGGGGTGATGAGGATGGATCAGAACATCCAGGGGCTCAGGGAACTGGGGTCAGAGCAGCATATGGAGGAGGGTCAAGGGGCCTGGGGCCTAGAAGTACAGGGCCAGGGGCTGAGGCAGGCTTTAGAGATGGTTCAGGGGGCGTCCAAGGAATGGGATCAGCAGGTGGGCCAGGTTGTAGGAAAGGTATTGGGAGTTCTGGGGAAATGGGGTCAGTGGATAAGGAAGGTTATAGGAAAGATTTGGGGGCTCCTGAGAATATGGGTTCGGGGAGCAAGGCTGCTTATAGGGATGGTGTAGGGGGTTCTGGGGAAATGGGGTCAATGGATGAAGCAGATTATAGGAAATATTTAGGGGCTCCTGAGGGAATGGGTTCAGGGAGCAAGGCAGATTATAGGGGTGGTTTAAAGGGTTCCAGGGAAATGGGATCAGTGGCTGAAGCAGATCATAGGAAAGATTTGGGGGTTCCTGAGGGAATGGGCACAGGTTATAGGGGTGGTTTAAGGGGTTCTGGGGAGATGGGGTCAGGCTATAGGGAGGATCTGGGGGCTCCTGAGGGAATGGGCACAGGGAGCAAGACAGGTTACAGGGGGGGTTTAAGGGGTTCTGGGGAACTGAGGTCAATTGATGAGGCAGGCTATAGGAAGGATTTGGGTTTTTCTGAGGGAGTGGGTTCAGGGAGCAAGGCAGGTTATAGGGGTGGCTTAAGGGGTTCTGGGGAAATGGAGTCAGTGAATGAGGAAGGTTATAGGAAGGATCTGGGGGCTCCTGAGGGAATGGGCTCAGGGAGTAAGGCAGGTTTTAGGGATGGTTTAGGGGGCTCTGGGGAGATGGAGTCAGTGGATGAGGCACGTTATAGGAAGGATTTGGGGGCTCCTGAGGGAATGGGTTCAGGAAGTTACACAGATTATAAGAATGGTGTAAGTGGTTCTGGAAAAATCAGTTCAGGAGGGGAAGCAGGTTATAGGAATGTTTTAGGGGGTTCTGGGAGGATTCCGTCAGGAAGTGAGGCAGGTTCTAGGCGAGGCTTTGGGGGAACTGATGGCATGGCATCAGGGGGTGAGGTCAGTTATAGGGGAGGCTCAGGAGGATCTGGGGAAATGGGGCCAGGGGGTGAGATGGGTTGTGGAGATGGCTCAGGGAGTCTTGGAGTGCCAGGCTCACTGGCAGGAACAGGACGTCAGGCTAGACCCAGAGGTCACGAAGCCATGGGGCACAGGTCAGGATATTGGGTAACATCAGAGGGTGGCACAAGCTCCAAGGATGGTCCAGAGATAGCCAGAGGAACAGGGCTTGTGGATGGGGCAGGACCTGGGGTGGAGTCTATGGCTGGAATGGCGGGCGCGGCAAGTGGCACAGCACACAGAGACAGGGGCCTGGGGGTGCTGGGTTCTCAGGGAGGGCCACAGGCTCTTTCAGATGGGCGAGGCTCCACCAAGGGTCTTGGGGGCTACAGAACCTCAAGGATCCCTGAGGCTGAGAAGGCTGCTGATACCAAGGGAAAATCAGATGTCAAAGAGTGGCAAGATAGTTCTGGGACTCCAGCGTCTTCTAGGGACAAAGGGGCTCCCAAGGCGAAGGATAGATCTCTAGACCACACAGGGATTATAGGGGCTTCTGGGTTTCTTGATGGCAACGGGGCAGTGGAAGGTGAGACTTGGGCAGGAATGGCTGCTCTGGGGTCTGGATATGAACAGGACATCTGGAAAGCAGGCCCAGGAATGACAGACAGGGGTAGAGTTGCTGGCTGGGGGGGATCAGCATCTCAGGGAGATGGGGACTCACTTTTGGGAGGCAGAAGGATGGGAGCAGGCTCACAGAGCTCAGCAGGGACAGGCCAGGATCTGGACAGCAGCTCTATGCCTGGGGAAAGGGGCAAGATGACATCAGGGCCTGCTGACAGCCAACGGATGAGCAATGCCTGGGCTCCCGATTGGGAAGACCAGGCGTTGGGCCGAGGAAGCACAGGTGCTGGGAAGCAGCCAACAGGCTCCAGGGCTTCCAGTTCTCTGCAGGAGAAAGACATTGCTTTTGGTAGGACCCAGGAAGGGCCAGGGGGCTTTAAGGGCAGGGAGGGTGCACCAGGCCAAGAGGTGGCTGGTGGATGCCAAAGCCCATGGTCCCCGGATAGCAAAAGTTCAAGTCCTGGAAGGGGCAGGTCTGGTGGCACAGAGGACTCAGGTATCCTGGGCAAAGGGAATTCTACTGAGTTGGGGAATGTCTTCACCCCAAAACCTGGGGAGTCAGGTCCTCAGGGAGCCTGGCATGGCTTAGATGGTCCCTTTGGCAGAAAAGCCTCTGGAGATGGGTCAGGAGGGACCCAGGGTCTGAGCTCTCAGCTAGACAAGGGACAGAGAGGAGGAAAGAGGGGGCCCTTGGGGTCCCTGAAGGCTGAGAATGGTGAGGCCCAGGGTCCTGGGGCCCTAAAGGAGGATGAGAGGCAGGGAGCAGAAGAGGCTGGGAGGTCAGGCAGGAGGCCTGGCTCACTCAGGGGCAGGTCTCAGGCACAGTCAGGGGCTGAGGTTGGAGGAACAAAGAGAAGGGGAGCAGACAGGGTCGGAAGCAGGGGGCAGCCACCAGTTGGGGAGACCTGGGGCTGCCAAGATGAGATGCTGAATGAAGACCAGAGCTGGGAGTCCCCCGGTCACCTTGGTAGCAAGGGAGGTGGCAAAGACGGCAGGTTGGACGTCTGTGGAGAGAAGAGAGATGCTACCCAGAGTTCCACATCCAGATGCAAGCCTGGCACTGGCAGGCTCTCCAAGGAGGCCCGAAGTAGGTGTTTCTCCACTGAGCCGGCTCCAGTGGGCTAGAGACAGGGGGAGCTCCCTGACCACTAGGATGCTTGGGTCTGTCCCAATTCTGCCTCCGGCCCCAGGAGTCTGTTCCACTCTCAGGAACGTTTTGCAAATTTAGGAAACAACCTTTTCCTCTTTGTGCAGATGGGATCCAGCCTGTGAGAGGCTCAGAGGTCTCCTAGGTTTCTACTCATGATACCTGATGTCCACAGCACCAGGGTTATGGACCCAACTCTCTGTGGGTTACCAGACTTCTCCCCTCTGTGACCTGGTGGACAGTGGGGGGGCTTCATATACCTTACTCCCCAGGTGTCCTGGACCAGCCTAGGTCCTGCTGAGAAAAGCAGCAATGCTTGGTCTCCTGTCTGGGAAGACCAAGGCGTTGGCGCCAAGGCAGCATAGGAACCACCCTGCTGACACCAGCTGATCCCATTGGCAGGACCACGGTGGCCCTGCAGGGCAGAGTGCAGGCCATGGCCTGGGAGGCTCGGCCCTGAGGACTCCCTCTGTGTCCCTCCAGGCCCCATGGGCCACTTCTCCCAGGGCCTGGCTGACATGGAGGTGCAGCAGGGAGAGGCTACCACACTCTCCTGTACCCTCACCAGCGACCTGGGACCCGGCACCTGGTTTAAGGATGGAGTCAAGGTACTGCCTCCCTCACACCTTCTCTTTACAAGCGGGAGGGACAGAGGTAAAGCAGGGAAGAGGAGGCGGGTAGAGGCTTTGAAAGAAAGATTCTTTTCCTTCGTTTTACTAATGTATCCACCCTGAGAGACATTTCAATAGCTACTAACTTGGTGTGTTTAAAATAAAATTGGATTTTTAAATGATGTGTATCCTACGCCCCTCAGCGCACCCCTTGTTCTTCCACCATGCCAAACGCCTCTTCTATGCCTGCAGAGTCCTACCCATCCTTCAAGGCCTTGTGCAAATGCCACCTTCTCATCCCAACCAGAGGGGAGCCCTCATCTCCCTGTACAACCCCTCTGTCCTGCATTACAGCTGACACCCCAAGAGAGACATTGCAGCGACTCAGGGCAGGGGCCTCAGTATCAGCTAGGTCTGGCTTCAGATCCCAGCTTTGCCACTACCAGTTATGGGACCTCAAGCAAGCAGCCAACATTCTGGCTCCCTCATCTATAAAGTGGGGCTAATAATAGTACTTCTTCATCAGGTTGTTATGACAATTAGATGAGGTGCTGAGCACAGAGGGCATTGGCATGCGGTAAACATTCCATTCACACAGCTGTTGTCAGGATCCCAGCATGAGTAAAGGGCTCTGCTCAGCTGGCGGAGCTGCAGTGGGGGTGGGGTGACCTTCTCCTGCTCTGGCCTGTCTCCAGCTCACCACCCAGGATGGAGTCATCTTTGAGCAAGACGGTCTTGTGCGCCGACTCTTCATCGCACATGCACAAGGGACCCAAGCCGGGAGGTACACCTTTGTAGCCGGCGACCAGCAGAGCGAGGCCACCCTGACTGTCCAGGGTAAGGCCCAGCCCTGCCCTGCCCTGCCCCACAGTCTTTGTACCAGGTGCTGTGCCTTGCTTTAAAACACCTGAACACGTGACTAGTCTGCAGCAAGTATCTAATCTCATCCCCAGAGAAGATGATGGGAAAAGCCGACTCATACCCTGCCTGTTCCAGCATCTGAGCTCTTTCCTTGCCAGGAAGTCCTCGGTGAGGTCTCAGCCTGGTCTCTCCTGCTGCAGATGAAGCCCGTTCCCTTGTTAGTCCTCATGTGGCAGGGTACAGGGTTCCTTACTCTTAGTCCAAACTTCCTTCTCTGGGTCCTCCTTTCTGCATTCCCCAGGGCCCTGGTCTTCTTTGACTCTCTTGTTTTATTTCTAGATGCCCCCACTATTGCTCCAGAGGTGACAGAGAAACTGAGAGAGCCACTGGTGGTCAAGGCTGGGAAGCTGGTGACAGTGAAGATCCCCTTCCAGAGCCACCTCCCCATTCAGGCTGCCTGGTGGAAGGACGGGGCCGAGGTGGTGGGCAGTGGTGAGAGGGAGGCCCAGGTGGACCTGGGGGATGGCTACTCACGGCTGTGCCTCCCCAGCGCAGGCAGGAAGGACTGTGGCCAGTACAGTGTGACGCTGAGGAGCAAGGGAGGCTCCGTGCAGGCTGAGTTCACCCTGCAAGTCATAGGTACCAGCCCCGTCTTTCCCCAGCCAAGACCTGAGTCCCCTCCCCGTCAGCAAGCACAGGCCTGGGGTGTGATCTCTGCTGGCTCCGATCCTCACCTGCATCCAGACCTACCCCTAACTCTGCTCACACTGCTTAGGAAAAAGCAGTTGAGATCAACAATGTGCTGGGCTCCTGCTAGGGGCTGGAGCCGGTTGTGCCTCTCTGAGCCCAATACATGGGCCCTCAGGAAGTTGCTGGGTGGGATGATGGTCCCCAGCCCTGAGTGGCGCCAGCAGGGTAGGAATGCTGTGAGCCAAGCAGGTGCCCATACCAGCCACTGGATGGTGGGCCTGGCACATTCCATGGCACATCCCTGGGTGCACGTGTGTGTTCCGGTGGAGACGAATGTCAAGCATGCGTGGCCCTCCGGGTAATGCCCAAGCCTCTCTGGACAGTCTGCCCCATTGCTGGCTTATCCACTGATGGCGTGGGGAGGGAACCAGCGCTGCTCCCCTCCAGCTTCTCTGACCCTCCCTTCTTCCTGCTCCTCTCTGTGGGTCCCCAGATAAGCCTGATCTCCCACAAGGCCCCCTGGAGGTTCAGGATTGCCACAAGGCTGGTGTCTGCCTTCGCTGGCTGCCCCCAAAGGATGATGGGGGCCGGCCTGTAGAGCGCTACGTGGTGGAGAGACAGCAGGCAGGCAGGAGCACTTGGCTGCAGGTGGGCCAGGCCCCCGCTGACAGCACCACCTTCACGGATGCCCACGTGGAGCCGGGCAGGAAGTACACCTTCCGAGTGCGGGCTGTGACCTCGGAGGGCGCTGGCGAGGCCCTGGAGTCCGAGGAGACATTGGTGGCTCCTGAGGGTGAGAGAAAAGGCTGGGGCTGGGGTTGGGGGACACTCCTGGGCTCCCCGCGATGCTGAGGTGGGCAGACTGTCCCAGAGGCTTAGTGACACCAGCCTGTGATGGGGCTTCAGAGGCCCTTCTGGAGCACTCTAGAGACTCCTTCCCTCAGCTGCATTTGGGATCTGGCACTCAGATCAGGAAGTGTTTTACAGTCTCCGGGAGCGAGGGTATGGGCCAGCAAAGCCCACTGTCTCTGGCTCAGGGAGAGAGGAGCATCCGCCTCCAACATCCTATCAGGGGACTGGAGGCTGAGGGGCCTCAGGGCCGGCTCCAGGCTCCGAGGCTACAGTGCCTTCTCTGTCCCTTCATTCCTTCCTCTGAACAGCCAGAACACTGACCCAGGGCAGGCTGGCTCAGCCCCCACACTCCCCAGGACAGAGTGGAGCGTGGCCTGCCCCAGGTGCCCGTGCCTCCTACCCCAGGGGCTCCCCAGCAGCCGGCACCTTTCCCAGCCTCTGGCTGACGGGACCCCTTCCTGCCCCCAGCTCTCCCCAAGGCTCCTTCCGCACCAGCCATCCTGTCAGCCTCCAGCCAGGGCATTACACTAACATGGACGGCACCTCGGGGCCCTGGCAGCGCCCACATCCTGGGCTACCTGATTGAGAGGCGTAAGAAGGGCAGCAATACCTGGACAGCAGTGAACGACCAGCCTGTGCCTGGTGAGCATGGTCCTGGCTTCCAGAGCTTCCTTAGACCCCTCCTGGCTCCAGGATCCCAGGGAGTTGTCAGTTCCGATTGGTTTAATACAGTGGTTCTCGTCTAGGGTAGTTTGGCAATGTCTGGAGACACTTTTCATTGTCACAACTGGGTGGAGAGTAGACGTCACTGGCCTCTAGTGCGAAGAGGTCGGGGACGCTGTTAAACACCCTACAGCGCCCAGGACGGAGCCCACGCCCGCCTCTCAAAACACCCAAAGAAGGATCTGGCAAAAAAAAAAAAAATGTCTATTGTGCTGAGGTCAAGAAGTCCTGATTCAGAAATCCTGGCTGGGAGTCAGAGATGAAGCTGTTAGCCCTGGCCCCTCTACTTCTGGCCTTGACCTTGGACAGTTCACTTCCTCTCTAGATTTTTTTTTGAGACAGAGTCTCACTCTGTCACCCAGGCTGGAGTGCAGTGGTGTGATCTTGGCTCACTGCAGCCTCCACCTCCTGGGTTCAATTGATTCTCCTGCCTCAGCCTCCCGAGTAGCTGGGACTACAGGCCCGTGCCACCACACCCAGCTGATTTTTGTTCTTTGAGTAGAGATGAGGTTTCACCATGTTGGCCAGGCTGGTCTTGAACTCCTGACCTAAAGTGATCTACCCATCTTGGCCTCCCAAAGTGCTGGGATTGTAGGCGTGAGCCACCATGCTGGGCCTAGATCTTAATTTCCACATCCATAAACTGGAGAGAAGGCCCCCTCTCCCCTCCCCACTAAGTAGTTTCCTGAGAAACAAACTGCATTCTGAGATCAGAAAGAACTTGGAAAAGCCAAAGGGCTGGGCAGATGCTGAGGGGTCTTCTGACAACCCTTAGCGAAATTTCTTTGCCCTGCATGCGTGCTGGGGAAGTCCAGGTTTGAGGAGGAAAGAACGGGCTCAGAACAGCTTCCCAGGAGACCTGGGTTCAGGTCATGGCTCTGCTACTTAGAAGCTAAGGCCTGTCAGGACTTCAGTTTCCTTATCTCTGGAAAGAGAGAGATGAACTAAAGGCATCCTTCCAATTTCACTATTTAGTGATTCTGCTTTATTTAAATATGACAGCAACTCTATAAGGCAGAGACAACCAGGGACATTAAGGCACTTGCCCAAGAACGCCCAGCAAGTCAGTGGTGGAACCAGATAGGGCTCCGGGGCCCCTGACACTATGAGCAGTGCCCTTTCCACCTTGGAGAGAACTGAGTCGCAGCAGGTAGCGGGATGCAGGGAGGGATGTGTTAGAACCCAGGCTTGGTCTCCTTCAGAACTCGGAGGCACCCAAGCTTTCTCCCATGTCCAGCCCCATCAGGGTGGGACTCACATGGGTGGGCTGTTCACAGAGAGGAAGTGGACGGTGGTGGACGTGCAGCAGGGCTGTCAGTACGAGTTCCGGGTCACAGCTGTGGCTCCCTCCGGCCCCGGAGAGCCTGGGCCCCCATCAGATGCCGTCTTTGCTCGGGACCCCATGAGTAAGTAGAGCACCAACCCAGGATGGGGGTGGGGGTGAGCACGGGATAGCCCCAAAGCCAGGTGGGACACGACAGGAGGTCACAGGTCAGGGGCAGTCCTGAAGGAGATGGGCAGGAGGGCTGGGTATAAAAATCAAAAGGCTTCTCGGGTGAAGCATGTCTTAGGGGCCCTACATCAAGATCAAATAGGCCCAGGAGCCAGGCAGTGGGATGAGAAGATTCCTTCCCTGCCAGGTGTAATGGTTCACACCAGTAATCCTAGCTGGTTGGGAGGCAGAGGCAGGAGGATTGCTTGAGCCTGGGAGTTTGAGTCTGTAGTGAACTATGATTGCACCACTGCACTCCAGTCTGCACGACAGAGGGACAATCTTTCTCAAAAAAAAGAAAAGAAAAAAAAGGAGAACCCTTTTCAAGATTGCTTCACTCACTCTTTGGCCTCTACGCAGGCCAGCCCCCAAGCTGGCCCACATGCCCCAGTCCAATAAGCATCCACTCACCACAGTGTGCCCCTCATGCAGGGAAGGGGGCAGGTAACAGGGGAAGCTCAGCATCAATTCTCTAGCCAATGAATATTTGCCCATCACCTACTAAATGGCCAGCATTGTGCCAGGAAGTAGGGGAATCAGTCCTGATCTCTGCCCTTGAGAAACATAGAGTCTGAGATAGCATTTCGTTTCTGAGACCTGTGGTCTCAGGAACATCGAGTGTATCAAGAGATGCCAACTCTGAGAATGACAGGAACAGCAAAAATATCTGTGATCAAAGATGTGTATGATGTAAGCCTATGTATTTACAAGTCCTGCCAGGGGAAAAAGCTGTCTAACCTTGATCCAAATCTAGCTTTTTCACAAAATACCTATGAAAAGCGTCACTCCAGGGCACACGGCTTAGAAAATGCTGTTCTGTATTTCTCCTCCCCTAATGAGCTTGCCTGCGTCAAGTCCTCTGGGGAGCAGCACATTTCTGGCACTTGCTGGATGGGGCAGGTGGTAACACCTGGAGAGCACTCTGTGCCCCACAGGGCCTAGCCCATTGCAGGTGTTCAGGCTGTTTGAATGAACCCAACAAGACCGGAACATCCTGTAAGTGTCATTGTTCAAGTGGTATCTGAGTTTCAGTCCTAGGAAGGGCAGGGTGTGGAATGGAGGGATGGGGGAAGAAAGTCGGCCCATGCAACTTACTCCTTGCAAATGGACCAAGCCTGTCATATCTTTTCTTTTCCCTCCCTCCCTTCCTCCCTCCCTCCTTCTCTCTCTCTTTCCTTTCCTTCTTTCTCCCTTCCTTCCTTTCTTTCTGTCTTTCTCCTTCCTTCCTTCTTTTCTTCCTTTCCTTTCCTCTCCCTTTCTTTCTTCTTTCTTTCTTTCTTTCCTTCTTTCTTTCTTTCTTTCTCTCCCTCCTTCTTTCCTTTTTGCCTTTCATTCCTTTCTCTTCTTTCTTTCCTTTCATTCCTTTCTTTTCTTTTCTTTCTTGGCAGGGTCTCACTCTTTCACCCAGGCTGGAGTGCAGTGATGCAATCTTGGTTCACTCCAGCCTCCAACTCCTGGGCTCAAGCAATCCTCCTGCCTCAGCCTCCTGAGCAGCTGGAACTATAAGCTTATGTCACCATGACCTGCTGAGTTGTTTTTGTAGAGACAGGGTCTCACTATATTGCCTAGGCTGGTCTTGAACTCCTGCTTTCAAGCTATCCTCCTGCCTCAGCCTCCTAAAGTGCTGGGATTACAGGCATGAGCCACAGGCCTGCAGCCTGTTAACCTCTCTGATCAGTGGTGGGGAGTGAAGACAATACATAGGATAAGCAGTGTCTCACATATGCCACAGCAGTCACTCCATTTTCTGGATTCTTGCTGCTGAGATTGCTTGTCCACGATCCAGTAACATCACCTTATTAGAACTTATGAGAAATGCTGAATCGCAGGCGTCACCCCAGACCTCCTGAATCAGGGTCTGTATTTTGACCAAAACGCCCAGGTAACTTCTATACTAATTAAAGTTGGAGAAGTACTGCCCTAGCCCAATGGTTTTCAAACTTCACTGCATATTTAGAAACACCTGGAAAGCTCTTAAAAATGTGGATGCCTAGACTGCACCCCAGAGTAATTACGTCAGAATCTCTGGGGTGGCATCTGGGTGCCAGTATGTTTAAGCTCGCCAGGTGATTCCAACGTGCAGCCAGGCTTGAGGGCCGGAACCCTAGACTGCTGGGCAATTTCCATGCCCTTTCACACTCATTGTGCTTTTTGCTTGTTCTAAAACCTCTGTGGGCGGGTGGAGCTCTTATCATTGTGCTCACGCAGCAAGTGGAGAACAGGAAGCCTGCACTGGCATACCCAAAAGGCACAGTCTTGACTCTGAGAGCTTAGAGTCCAGAATCCAAACACATAGAAGTCTAGTCTTGCGGGATAATAGAACCCAAGAGGTCATCTACTAAAATATCGGTTTTCAGGAATTACAGGAGGATATTTAGGACAAGGCATTCGGCAGGTTGGTGAAGGAATGAGGGGAATGGGTCGAGGAAGGCTTCCTGGGGGAGGTGGCCTGGGATCTGTGTGCATAGCAAAGTACTGGTTAGAGTAAGAATTTGGATCAAGGCTCACACCTGTAATCCCAGCACTTTGAGTGGCCGAGGCAGGTAGATCACAAGGTCAGGGTTTCGAGACCAGCCTAGTGAAACCCCATCTCTACTAAAAATACAAAAATTAGCCAGGCGAGGTGGTGTTCACTTGTAATCCAAGCTACTCAGGAGGCTGAGGCGGGAGAATCACTTGAATCCAGAAGGTGGAGGTTGCAGCGAGCTGAGATCAGGCCACTGCACTCTAGCCTGGTAGGCAGAGAGAGACTCCATCTTAAAAAAAGAAAAAAAAAAAAGAATTTGGATCAAGGAAGACTCTAAAGGCAGAATTGCTAAGTGAAAAAAATTCCCAGCCTCCCACAAGAAAAGCTAATCAATATCCGTGCTGAGTGGCCTCCCTCAGGAGATGCCATTCCTGACGCTCCCATTCGGCCCCGCAGGACCTCCTGGGCCAGTACGGAATCTCCAAGTCACAGACACATCAAACACCAGCGTCACCCTGAGCTGGGCCGGGCCAGACACCCAGGACGGGGATGAAGCCCAGGGATACGTGGTGGAGCTGTGCGGCTCAGACAGCCTCCAATGGCTCCCGTGCCATGCGGGCACCGTGCCAGCCACCACCTACACAGCCAAGGGGCTTCGGCCCAGAGAGGGCTACTTCGTGCGGGTGACAGCAGTTAATGAAGGAGGCCAGAGCCAGCCCACTGCCCTGGACACACTGGTGCAAACCATGCCCATTACTGGTGAGTGCTGCCTCCTCCTCCGACCCCTGAGCCCTGCAGGCCCCTCCTGAGAGGGGGACCGCCGTTCACTTGCTGAGCCAGGATCCCCACCCTCAGTTTCAGCAAGCAACATTTATTGAGCACCTACTATGTGCTGGGCGCTGAGCTAGGCAGTTCCTTCTTAGAAATGTTTTCTCATTTCAACTCTGCTACAAGGTTAATGTTTTTATTCCTAAGTTACAGAAAAGAAAGCTGAGGTTCAAGGTACTTTGCCCAAATTGTCACCCATGGTATGTGGTAGAGCCAGGATTTAAACATGGAGACTCCAAAGTTGATGTTGTCCGGGAGAGAGGGCTGCTGCTTCCTGGGCATGGCCTTAGAAGGCCTACGTGCGGCTCGGCTCCCCCGGTTCATGTTCAGAGTGGGGCATGCCCAGCTCCCCGTTATTATTGAAAAGAGGATTGTCTTTGCCTCCACCTACGAGCCCCTGAGCTGTCTCTGACCCAAGCTGACACTGACCCTAGCCGTCACTGTGACAGTAGGGAGACGCATACACAGCACACAGAGTCCAGACTCCCAGAAGTCTGTCCTGGCTCCCTCCCGAACAGGGTGTGACCTCAGGAAGTCACTGCCTGTCTTAGATTGGTGGTTATCTCATCTGCAAAACATAAGCGCCCCGTCACAAATCAGCATCTTCCTCTGTTCCAGCCTAGCCCACCCCTCTCCGTGCAGCGTCCCTTTCTCAGCTCCTGTCCCTCCCCTGCGAGCATCTCCCCACCAGCCCCTGGGGTCCCCCTGAACAGTCTGCCACCAGCTGCACTCCAGTCCCTCGGAGACCCCAGTGTGTTGGGATCCCAGCATCAATCCAGCAGGCCCAGTCGTCCCCTCCAGCCCTGCCTTGCTGGGGACCAGGAGTCCCACTGCGAGGGAGGAGGGAGGTAACCAGTCCCCTTGTGTGTTTCAGTCTGTCCCAAGTTCCTCATGGACGCCAGTACCAAGGACTTGCTGACGGTCAAGGTTGGGGACACTGTCCGTGTGCCTCTCTCCTTTGAAGTGAGTGTACCTACAGGGGTGTGGGGAGGGAAGCCCAGAGAGGCCAAGGGACCAGACTCAGCCCTGTGGCTCTTTTCTTCGCTGTTCCTTTTTGGCCCCTAGTCAGTTCCCCGGGCTTGTGGAAATCAGGCGAGACCTGATGAAGGAAGGATTCAGGTCCTCCTCGAAGGCACCGCCCTCACTTGGCCACTAGGTGGCCATTCTGCTCCAGGCCCGCAAATCCCTCTAGCGGTGGCTCCTGGTACTGCACCTCCAAACTAGGGCTCTTCCTGTTCTCCACCTCTCCTAGTGTGGGAATTCAGGGAGCCTGCCGTGCAAATAATCCGCTTTGACTTCACAATGTGTTTTTGTGCAAGCATACGACCTGCATTTAACTCAGAGTGACCTCAAGCAACACCAGCACCACCTGACTTTATAACAGTAGGGTGGTGGCTAAAAGTACAAACTGCCTGTGTTCAAATTCTGTCATCACTCACAGCTGTTTGACTTTGGACAAATATATATATATGGTTTTTGTTTTTTTTTTTTTTTTTTTGAGATGGAGTCTAGCTCTGTCTCCCAGTCTGGAGTGCAGTGGTGCGATCTTGGCTCACCGCCACCCCCACCTCCTGCGTTCAAGCAATTCTCCTGCCTCAGCCTCCCAAGTAGCTGGGATTACAGGCAGGTGCCACCACACCCGGCTCATTTTTGTATTTTTAGTAGAGACGGGGTCTCACCATGGTGGCTAGGCTGGTCTCAAACTCCGGACCTCAGGTGATCCACCCGCTTCAGTCTCCCAAAGTGCTGGGATTACAGGCGTGAGCCACCTCTCCCCGCCTGCACAAATATCTTAACGTCTCTGTGATTCACCTTCCTCACCTGTCAAAACGGTATAATAACAGTAACCTATCTCCAAGGGTTGTTCTGAGGGTTCAAGGAATTACTATCTTGAAAGTGCATAAGTAGGGCCAGGCGTATGGCAGCTCCCAATATGTTTGAATATTGTTATTGTTCTTATTGGTTAAAATCATCAGCATCTGTGGAGGAAGCTCATAACATGCAGAGCAAGATTCAAACCATCTATCTTACTCAAAGGACTTGTTCTTAACCATAATAAGACAATGATAATGACAAGAATATTTAACACACACTGAGTGTTTACCATGTCCTAGGCCTTGCTCTCTCTGCTTTCCACCTATTATTATTATTATTATTATTGGTATTTTGAGATGGAGTTTCACTCTTGTTGCCCAGGCTGGAGTGCGATGGTGTGAGCTCGGCTCACCACAATCTCTGCCTCCCAGGTTCAAGCGATTCTCCTGACTCAGTCTCCCAAGTAGCTGGGATTGCAGGCATGCACCACCACGCCCAGCTAATTTTGTATTTTGAGTAGAGACAGGGTTTCTCCATGTTGGTCAGGCTGGTCTGGAATTCCCAACCTGAGCTGATCCACCCTCCTTGGCCTCCCAAAGTGCTGGGATTACGGGCGTGAGCCGCGGTGCCCAGCCTCTATGTATTAATGCCTTAAATTCTCAGAACAATCCCATGGGGTTAGTTAGTTACTATCAGCATCTTCATTTGACTCTGATGCCCAACGTGCCCTGTACTGAGGGCCCTGTAGGGAGTTGATGGCATGGTCACCAGGCAGCTGGGGTGGCCTCCCCACCCTGCTCAGGGTCACCACAGTTCAAGGCCAGGACACCACAATTCTCCTCCTGGACTATTGCTGGGATTCCCAAATTATCTCCGACGTCGTCTTGGGTGCCAAGGTGGTTAATGCTCCCCTCCCCACAAGTCCTTTCTCATTCCCATCCCACCCCTGCCATGTGAATCCAGAGCTCATTATGCTTTCCCGCTCAGAATCTGACAAGAGCAGCTCCTGGCTTGCAGGGTAACATCAGACGTCTGTACAGGTGTGACGTGGAAGGCACGTTGGATTTTTGCTGAACCTCCCGTCCAACTTCCTTTCCTGCTCCACCAACCCACTACCATCCCCACCTGCCAACCTCACACTTTATCACCACCCTTCTTTCCCCCCTGTGTTTTCTTGTCGACTTTCTCCCTGTAGAAGGCTCTTCTCACCGCTTCTGCCTTCGGCCTAGATTAAATGCCATCACTTCCGTGAAACTGCCAGCTGCCCCTTCGCAACTTTTCCTTCCTCTCCTTTCTCAGGCTGTGCCCATGCCTGAGGTGACCTGGCTGAAGGATGGCTTGCCCTTGCCCAAAAGAAGTGTGACCATCACCAAGGATGGCCTCACCCAGCTTCTGATCCCTGTAGCAAGCCTCTCGGACAGCGGTCTCTACACTGTGGTGCTGAGGACCCCACAGGGGAAGGAGGTTGCCCACAGCTTCCGCATCAGGGTGGCAGGTGAGGCAGGCCTGGCTCTGGGCTCGGGATGCTGGCTCGGCCACTCACCAGGGCAAGGAGGTATCCACTGCTCTGGTCATAGGTCTCAGCCACTCTACCAGGGCTGGGTATGCAGGGATGCAAGGTGACTCCATTCTCCACCTCTCCTCCCTGCTTGGTGATAGAAAGTAGAAAAGACCCAGGAAGATTTCCTGGGGACTTCCATTGTTCTGCCTCAGGAGCCTAGAGACGGTCATGTCGTGTCTCCTCTCCAGACTGTTACCGCCCTTACTTCACTCCCAAGACCCAGGGGGCAGAATTGCCGGCAACCCTTGCGTAGGATAAAGGCTTTCCTCCCTAGCCATGGCTCCACACAGCCCCTGCCCTGGAGGTATCCAGAAACGAGCAGACAGAGTAACAGTGGGGCTCTGTAATGCAGCCTCAGGAGAGCCCTGCCTCTGTCCAAAAACGCACGCCTTGTCCTGGATCATTTTACTCAAAAACTGAAGTGAATTAAAATTACTCTTTTGGGGAAATATTCTACCCTCTAGAGATAGCTTTGGACCTCTGGCTAAGCTCACTCTGGCTCCAGTTACCTGCGTGGTGACAAGACTGCGTTCCCCAGGAATCTCAGAAGACCTGGGACCTGGAGGGGGCTGGCAGCAGCCCTGCTGGGTCCCCTCCATGTGACCTCCCTCTGCCGTCTCTCTTGAAGCATGCCCGCAGGCGCCTGGGCCCATCCACCTGCAGGAGAACGTGCTTGGGACGGTCACTGCCGAGTGGGAGCCCTCTCCAGACGAGGCCCAGGGTGTCCCTCTGTACTACGCGGTACTCACGCGCTCCTCTGCGCACGGCCCCTGGCGCGAGGTGGCCGACCGTGTCCACACAAACCGCTTCACCCTCCTGGGCGTCGTCCCCGGCCATGAGTACTACTTCAGGGTGGTGGCCAAGAATGAGCTGGGGACCAGCAAACCCTCGGAGACCAGCCAGCCCTGGTGCATCCCCCGGCAGCGCAGTAAGCAGCCCCTGGGAGCGGGGAGCAGGCAGGGTGGGGGCTGCGCTCAGCTTTGCAGCGGGGTGCACCCAAGTACGGCAGGCTTGCAGGATAGGCGCTGTGGCGGAGCTGGCCCGGAGTACGCCAAATCACAGCCAGCAGCCCTGAGCTGCTGCTCCTCCCACTCCTGCCTCACACACATACCTGTACTGACATCCTCTGCACCCCTGACCTCTGTGGGGAGAACGAGATGGGTGTGGGTGTTTGGGTGTCTGAGATGCCTTTGGGAGAACTTCAAAAGTAGCCTTAGAAAATAAGGTGAATAGAGGTTAATGTTTCTCTGAAAAACAAAATGGGGTGTGTGTGTGTGTGTGTGTGTGTGTGTGTATGTGTGTGTGTGTGTTTTGAGACGGAGTCTCGCTCTGTCTCCCAGGCTGGCGTGAAGTGGTGTGATCTAAGTTCACTGCAACTCTGCCTCCCTGGTTCAAGTGATTCTGCTGCCTCAGCCTCCTGAGTAGCTGGGACTACAGGTGCACGCCACCACACCCAGCTAATTTTTTAGTAGAGACGGGGTTTCACCGTGATAGCCAGGATGGTCCCAATCTCCTGACCTCATGATCTGCCTGCCTCAGCCTCCCAAAATGCTGGGATTACAGGCATGAGCCACCGCGCCCATCCAACAAAATGTATTTTGCAACCAAGTAGATGTGGACCTTAAGATCAGTTACTGGAAAAGTAGGCTATAAAATCAGATGATGGTTTCATTTTCATAAAATACAAACAGATCAGGAAAGCTCTCCACCAAAACGTCAGCTGTGGTCATCTACAGGTAGTGAGTTATGGCTGGTTTTTATTCTTTCTCCTTTGATTCTCTGTGTATTCTAAGTTGTCCACAGTGCATGTGTGTTAGCATGTAGTAAAAGAAAAATCCATAAAGAATTTCAGGAAAAGGGTAGAATGTGTCAAGCCTTGGGGTCCAAATCTGCAGGCCAGATGAGGCAGGCAGCCCCAGGTAAGGCCCACATGGCAGCATCACGAGCTCTTGACCAGACTTGGGCCTCAGCCAGGCCTCCCTCACTTTCCCACCCTCCTCCCTCTGACCCCGGTTTTCACCACAGACAGGTTCACAGTGAAGGCTCCGAGCTACCAGGAGCCCGATCTGAGCCAGAAGCCCCGGTTCCTGGTGGGTCTGCGGTCCCACCTGCTGCCCCAGGGCTGTGAGTGCTGCATGAGCTGCGCGGTGCAGGGCTCGCCCCGGCCCCATGTCACCTGGTTCAAGAACGACCGAAGCCTGGAAGGAAGCCCCGGGGTGTACAGCACCGACCTGCTCGGCGTGTGCTCCCTCACCATCCCCAGCGTGTCCCCGAAGGACAGCGGCGAGTACAAGGCTGTGGCCGAGAACACGCTGGGCCAGGCGGTCAGCACGGCCACCCTCATTGTCATAGGTAATGGTGGCTGCCCTGGCAGTGGGACAGGAAGGAGAGCCAGGAGAGCAGCCACCTGCCTGCCTTCAGAGAACCTCCGGGGGTGGGGGCTAGAAGGATTCAGCCTGGGGTCAGGAGACGGGGACTCTCTGCCTGACTCTGAACTGTCACTTATTTAACCGACCAGCACTGGCCCACCTGGGGTCTTGATTTGCCCACTTTTTAATTAATTAATTTACTTATTGAGATGGAGTATTGCTCTTGTTGCCCAGGCTGGAGTGCAATGGTGCCATCTCGGCTCACTGCAACCTCCACCTCTTGGGTTCAAGCAATTCTCCTGCCTCAACCTCCTGAGTACCTGGGATTACAGATGCCTGCCAGCACACCCAGCTAATTTTTTGTATTTTTAGGAGAAGCAGCGTTTCACCGTGTTGGCCAGGCTGGTCTCAAACTCCTGACCTCAGGTGATCCACCCGCCTCGGCCCACCAAAGTGCTGGGATTACAGGTATGAGCCACCATGCCTGGCTGATTTGTCCACTGTTAAAATGAGGTATTTGAACTTGGTGAACAACCATTGATTGCAGGGCTGTGTACTGTCCACGTAAGCTTCCCAGTGGGGCACGTGACACATGGCAGGCTGAGAGATGAACAGGTGTCTGTTTTGCTCTTTCTTAAATATGTCCAGATATGGACACTTAGTGCCCAGAAAGCCGTGCTGGTTCGCTCATTGGTAGTCTCCTTTTCGGTAGCACAAATAACATATGCAAATAAAATTTTTTCCTTCAATAGTACTTAAAACACCTTATATTTTGAATAGCAATAGAAGGCAACCCTCAATTGACCTTTGTGCAGAAACGGCTCCTCTGCACCGGAGCAGAGCATTTCTCCTCCCTGCAGCGCCTGTGATTAGGCATTTGGGAAGCCACTCGCGAAGCACCCCAGCTTGTGTGTACCACATAGTCCTGGAAAGAAGCTGCTATTGGGGGTGGTTATAGTTCCCCATGGGGCCAGCAAAGGGCTTTACCCAAGCTCGGAGAGCACTGGTGGCTCTGGATTTGAACCCACACCCCCTGACAGCAGAGCCCGTAGCCTGAACCCCATGCTGTTTTCTTCACCGCTAAGCAGGTGTGGGGTGGGGTGGGTGCCCCACCGGACCAGTGGGAATACCCTGTCTTGCAGAATCCAGCTCCTAGCTCCACCTCACCCTGGGATGGTCCTGGACCCTCCGAGCTTCACTTCTGCCACCTGCCCTGGCCCAGGAAGCCAGTCCCAAAGTTTGGAGGCCATGTCCAGAGCCCCAGGAAGACGGAAGTGAGAAGACTCCTGGTGAGGTTTTGGCCAGGAGGACATGAAGTCCTTGGGGAAGAAAAACAAGGCGGGAGGGCATTCCGCCTCCTGGCTCCAAGCTGTCACTCAACAATGACAGCAGACCTCCTGGACCCTCACCATATGGGTTTCTTTCTTCTTCGCTTCAGGAGATCCAGAGGGCACCTCCCTGCAGGATGGGCCAGCTCCTTATTTTCTGGGCTGAGCACCTTGGAGGGAGGGTGGGCACAGATGGGCCTGCTGTGACCCCAAGGAAGAAAGAGGAGAGGAGGTTAGAGGACCTGGGTGAGGACTAGGGCACCGAGGGCATGTGTGTGGGTGGGCACAGGGGTGTGGCATGTTCTCTCTGTACTTTTCGTCATTAAAACATTAGGCTAATATGAGCAGATCATTTGCAGATTTACTGGGGTGGGTGTGTTGGTGGAAAGATTCCCAAAGCAGAGCCTTTATTCCGGGCTCCAGTTGGGAGGATGCGTGGGTTCTGGATGGAGGGAAGAATGGGCTCAGAACTGGATTCTCCTGCAGCCCTGACCTGCACAGCTGTGGCAAGCGGGGGAAAGCCAAGAAGGGTTAGTGGGTGATGGAGACGCCTCTGTTCCTCCTGGCCTGCCTCCTGCACTTCTGGCTGGCAGGAATCCTGTGAGCAGCAGGGCTGGAGGCCTCCCCAAGTGTTACGTGTGAGGACCACAGGGCTGGGGTTGCCCGGGGCTGTTGTGTGTCTGTCACTCTCCAAGATGAGAAAGAGCCTGAGCTGGGGAGAATCCTGCTCCAGGATCTGAGCCCTGTCAGAAGGGATGAAAGAGACCAACCATTGCCTGAGGGTGTGACTCTCGCTCAGGCTCCACGAGGCCTCCTGAGCTTCTCCACAGCCCCCACTGCCCCATGTCACAGGCGGGTCACCCCCCACTGCCCCCAGAACCCCTGCACCCCCTCACACTCCCTTATTCTCAAGCCACGGCCCCGGAACTCTCAGGCTGCCAGGAAATACTCCAGTTTCCAGGAGACAAAAGGAAGGCGGGAGCCCTGAGGAAGGCGGAGCCCCACTCTCTCCCAGGGCATCAGGTGTGAGGCCAGCAGGTGACCCGATGTGCTAGAACACTGCCTGCCTTTCACTCGCTCTGCTCAGACCCTGGCTTCTGCTCCCCACAGCCCCGCCTTTGCCACTAACTGCCGGTCAGCTGCAGGAAGGAAGGAGCGTGAATCACAGGAGGAGGGATTGATGTCAAAACCTGTTTCTGAAGAGTGAGAATATGTGACCAAGGGAGGGCTCCTTGAATCGGAGAGAGAACTGTTCACCCAAAATAGACCAAGAGTGTCCCCCAGAGGCAGGGGCATGGACCAGATGACCTTTTATAGTGCGTTCCTGCCCCCACCAAAGAAACCTGCATGAGCTGTTTTCCTTGGAATTTCTCTCTTATCTCTACTTGCTATCATAGCAGGGCCATAGGGAAAAAGGGAGTTCTCAGAAACTGAGAGGCAGTTGCTTGACACCTCAGCCTCTGTGGGGCTGTTCTCATGAGTGCTTTCCCTGCTGTGTGGTCCTGGAGTTGAAGGAGGGCAAAGCCTCAGGCCAATAGTCTGTGATTTCAGAAATGCAGAGAAGAGGTCATTTGCACAGAGTGGGTGACCTAGTGCCCGTGGCATGCCTAGCTCTGAGCAGACACTCATATTAAGGATGAGAAGAGAGACCTTAAGGGTGGGGTACTGGGGACTGATCTTTTGAGTCAATATAAGGACAAAAGACTGTAACCCAGGATGGCTTTCATGAGATATCTTCATTTCTTTGATGAGCCTGGATCAGGCGCTGTGGAGGCAGAGATGAAGATGACTCAGACCTGAGTCCTATCGCCAAGGGACCCATGGCAGGGAGGCAAGACTTGTATACCAAATCCACAATCCAAGGTAGCCTGTGATGCATACTCTAAGAAAGGCAGCAATAAAGTCCAGAGGAGTGCAGAGGGGGAGAGACGCTGCCGGCTGAGAACCTCGAGGACGGCTTCCTGAAGTGGAAACATCCTTGAGGGAGAAGTAGCAACTAGACGGGCAAAAACGGGCAAGGGCGCATCGGGGCGGAGAACACCATGAGCAAAGTCAAGGAGGGAGGGAAGCACAGGCTGGGTTCAAGCGCTGGCAGGGATTCAGTGTGGACAACTCAAGGTGACCTACATAGCTACCCCAGCCCTTTGGTCTAATGCAAAGGGAAACATCTCTGGACCAAATTTACGGGCGGATGTGTGCTCTGCGTGCCAACCACGATGGAAGCAGAGCTCCTGCCCTCAGAGGCCTGGGACAGTGGAAAGCGGTGGTCTCTTTTGGCAGTGGACAGCAGAGTGCCAGTATCCCAGGGCAGGCCAGGTTAGGTGTCCCTGGGAGGAGCTAGCATACTTCTGTAACTGGGGTGGGATATGAAGACAAAAAAGACAAAAGGAACAGGCATGGCATTTTCATTCATTTCCACGCAAAGCCAAAAAAAAGTCCTTGCCAGCCAAGTGTAGAATCTGAGCATAAGATTAAGGGTTTAAAGACTAGTTCTGCTACTAACTAGTTGTGCAAGATCTTTAACCTATCTGTGCCTCGTTCTTCATTTGTAAATTAAGAATAAGAGTTGCCGAATCCAAGGCCACAAAGATTTTTCTCCTGTTTTCTTCTAGAGGTGTTATGGTTTTACTTCTTACATATCATTCTGTGCATTTTGTGTTAATTTTGGTATGTAGTGTAAGAGTCAGGGTGGGGGCCAGGCACAGTGGCCCACGCCTCTAATCCCAGCACTTAGGGAGGCCGAGGCAGGTGGATCACCTGAGGTCAGGAATTTGAGACCAACCTGGTCAACATGGTGAAACCCTGTCTCTACTAAAAATATATTTCAAAATCTTAGCCGGATATGGTGGCATGAGCCTGTAATCCCAGTTACTCAGGAGGCTGAGGCAGAAGAATTGCTTGAATCCAGGAGGCAGGGGTTGCAGTGAGCTGAGGTCGTGCCATCATACTCCAGCCTGGGCGACAAGAGTGAGACTGTCAAAAAAATAAATAAATAAATAAAAAGGTAATGGTAGGGTTTTTCTTGGATTTTCTTTTTCTCCATTGAATTACCTTGGAATGCTTGTTAAAAGTCAATTGACCATATATGTGTGGGTCCACTTTTAGACTTTTTATTACTCATTCCTTAAATGTTTGGTAGAATTTACCAATGAAACTAGTGGACCTGGAGTTTTGTTTGTGAAAAGGATTAGATCTCAAACTCAATTTTTTCAGTAAATATATAGGGCTATCCAAGCTACCAGTATCTTGCTGAATGAGCTTTGATAAGTTGCGACACTTAAAGAATTTGTCAGTTTCATCTACGTTGTTGAATTTGTTGGTACAAAGTTGTTTATAATATTCCCTTAGAATCATTTCATCTGTAGGCTCCCTGGTGATATCCTCTTTCATTCATCATAGCAGAAACATGTGCTGTCTCCCTTTTATTCTTAATCTGTTACCTCATCATCTTTTCTCAGTTCATTATCTTTTGACTTGCAATTTTTGTTGAAAAGTCTACTATCATTCTTATCTCTATTCTTAGGTAAAAGAACATTTTTCTCTGCTTTTAATATTTTCTCCTTATCAGCAATTTATTTAAAATATGCCTTGCTGGAATTTTCTTTATGATTATTTACCTTGGGGGGTTGTTGAAAGTCAATTGACCACATATCTGAGGGTCAACTTACAGACTCTCTATTACTTACTCCTCTTCTATTTTCTGGAAAAGTTTGTATAGAGTTGATGTTATATTATCCTTAAATGTTTGGTAGAATTTACCGATAAAACCACTGAGCTGGGAGTTTTCTCTGTGTGAAGGATTTGTAGGTTGTCATTTTCATCAAATTTAGAGATGTTGGCTATTATTTATTCAAATATTTTTCTGTACCTTCACTTTTGTGGTTCCAATTTCACTTATGTTAGATTGATTGACATTTGAACACAGCTCATTAGGGCTCTGGGTATTTTTGGTGTTTTTTTTTTTTTCCATTCTTTTTTTTCTCTGTGCTTCAATAGCTATGTATTGAAGTTCATTAAATTTTTTTCTTCTGCAGTCTCTAAACTGCTGGTGACCTCATTCGGTATATTTCTCATTTCAGATATGGCATTTTTTAAATCTCTAGAAGTTCCATGGAAGGACGTATGGATCTTTTGTTTCTCTTGTCTACTCGTGTTTTCTACCTTCTTGAGGTTATGGAGCACATCGGTAATAGTGGTTTTAACATCCTTGCCTACTAATTCCACCATCGCTGTCATTTCTGGACATGTTTATCTTGATGGATTTTCTCCTGGTAATGGGACATGTATTTATCATTGACATACCTGGTAATGTTTCATGTGACACCAGGCATTGTAAATTTACACTGTTGTATCTTTGATTTTGTTGCATTCCTTTAAATAGTGTTGGTCTTTGTTCTGGCACGCAGCTAAGTTTCTTGGAATCAGTTTGATCCTTGTAAGACTTATTTCACCAAAGGTCCTGTTTCCTGCCCCTCTACCGCCTTCATTAAAATCGATAAACTCGAAAGGTGTTGATGATGGCACAACACTCACTTACACTCAGGATTTGTGCTCCAGCTTATTTTTGGCCTCTAAGGATTTTCCTTTCTTTCTTGCAGTCTCAGCTATGCATTTAAAATTATGTTTAAAACAATTTTATCGGCATTTTTTAGGTGTTTCGCAGCACTGGGCTTTCAGGATATTTTCCCCATTACATTGCTAGAAATGGAAGGCTCCCTAACCTATCATGTTTGTTGACTTAACCTATGGTGCTTTTTAGTAAACAAAAATCACGAATTCGCATGTAGCAAAATCCATTATTCTTTTCTTTATTGTGTGTGTGTGTGTGTGTGTGTGTGTGTGTGTGTGTGTGTGTGTGTTTCAGGGGAGTTTTGTTTAAGAAATCGTTCCAGACCCAAAGTCACAAAGATATCCTACTACATTTCCTTTGGTTAGCTGTATCACTTTCACATTTAGGTCCGTAAATCCTTGGTAGTTCACCTTCATAAATGGATGGAAGTAGAAGCTGTCTTTATTTCTCTCCATTTCATGATCAAGTTTTCTAATGCTATTCAATAATCTCTTCTACCACCTGGGAAAGTTCTCGTATGCAATTTGGTATGTTTCTGGTCTCTGTATTCTGTTACTTGGTCCATTTCCTATTTCCACACCTGTAGTATAGTGGTGTAATTTTAAGTATGACTTCATAGGTGGTGGGTTAAGCCCCTCTTTTGGATTTTCTTTTACAAAGTTGACATGGCTATTTGTAGAACTTTACTTTTCAATATAGAGTTTGGTATAAGTTTGGGTTTTAAAAAATACTGCTAGAATTTTAATTGAGATTACATTGATTTAATGTAAT